TCACTCCACAGAGACAAGTCACTCTCTTCTTTCCACTGAACTTTTGAATGGTGTATGTAAAGTAAAAATAAACAGGGCAGTCTGTACTCTGAGCTGATTCTTTGTAAAGGGTTTAAATAATAATACAAATGTCATTCTCATGGCTCTAACTGGGAAATCTGTTTAACAGGACTTTTGCTAAAGCAGCTCTGGCCCCATGTCCTGCCCCTTCAGGATATCAGTTTCTCCAGTTAGAACACATTCCACTGAAGAGGCAAGAACAAGATGAGCCACTTAAGGCTCACAGATCACTGCCATCTGGTCATCCCTCCTAATTTTTCTCTGGTTTTGCATTTTGCTGGGGTCCTTCTGACTACTTGTAGCATGAGACAGTACCTGCACTCAATTCAGGTTGCACAGGTTTTCCAGCTGCTCCATGATAGCACATCTAAACGAGCCATCATGGGGTTTGATGTCTCCAGCACAGTTTCAAGACAATGAAGGAGATACCAGTAAACAGATGCGAGGAGCGATGTAGAAAAGCTTCAACCCAGTAGCAGGACTGGTATCTGCTCACGAGGAGCACTACCAGAGCTTTACAAAGTGACCTACAGCAAGCTGCTCATACACGTTTCTGACCAGACTATCAGACTCCAGGAGAATGGGATCAGGTCCCCAGTCCTGAATCTAACTGAGTACTTCTCAGATGTTATGCATCTGATGCTACCAAATATCACTGTCCATCCAGGAGCATGCTCGGACATTGTCTCCTGCTACCAATAGTGACAAAGACTCACAAAAGTTGATCCTTCCTACTGGACAGACTGTCGTTCCTAAAGTGTAACTGACCTTGTGTTATACTGAGATGATCGAGTGTTGCTTTCATTTCCACAGCTGTCATCCATCCATCCATCCATTCATCTTCTCCTGTTAACCTCAGGGTTAACACAATGAAACTTTACACTCACATTCACACCCGCGGGCAATTTATAATCACCAGTGAGCCTAACCCAGGGGTGGGCAATTCCAGGCCTCGAGGGCCGGTGTCCTGCAGGTTTTAGATCTCACCTTGGGTCAACACA